CACATGTCCATCGGTCCCTCAACCCTTACTTAAGAGTTCAGTAATCCCGACCCTCGCTCGTATTAGAGAGTAGATATGGGAGTGATATCTGGATCCTCACTTTGTCCCTGTCCATTTATCTTCCGTATCCATTGTTGGTGGGTATCAATCTATCCGTTCCCAGCCATCTGCTGTCGACCTTCTTAATATTAATAAAGAAAAGGAATGGACCTACCCGTAACTACAGGAAGAAAGAAGGCGAGCTATTACAACTTCATGCAGTCAAAGCTACTAATGCCACTTACAGCTAGCAGCTGCTACTACTTACAGCTAATGAAGACCTTAGGAACTCGGGCACCGAAGGTGCCCTTATCGTCTCAATTTGATGTGATCAAGAAATTGTTGTAGGTAGAAGAATGTGCGACCTATACGAGTCCGGGTCAAGTCGTGTACCGTCACCGCGGTGACTTTCCTCTAAGTAATTGCTAGCTAACTTTAGCCTCTTCTCCTCCTCGCAGCCCACCCACCGCCCTTCTCGCGTAAGGCCTGAGCTTCTTTCATTCGTCAATATGGGTAGGTAGAGTCCTTTGCTTGTATGCTTGGCATTACTATACTATAGTAGCACCAGTCTTTATTTTTCGTGCACATGAAACGAAAACCCTAACTGATACTACCCACACGGTGATCAAAAACTCTCCTTCTCTGCTTCACTGTCAATTGATTGGCACATGAACAAAGCTGTAACGGATCATGTACACGACGATCAAACATGGCTCAGTTGCCTGTGATAGGAAAAAAAAGTTGATCAGATAGTTCGTGCGAGCATTTCCCGCCTCGTGTTTGACCTTTTCCTTGCCGTGTAGGTCAAGCTAGAAGAGCATCATTGGATCGACAGCTGACAAACAAACCTTCCATTCTTATGTCTACATCGCTTCTCTCTTTATCGCATTGACCGGACAAAGTTTTGAATGAGCATCCCATGGGACAGCCATAGCTTGAACCTTCCTCCTCTCTTTCGGGTGGGCGGCGGGAATAGCTCTTCTAGCATCAGCATGGATTGACCAGAGACTAGGAGTAGTCGTCATGTTTGTCAATAGTAGTCATCTAGCCAGCAAGGGAAAGACCACTTAGCGCAGTGGAATAGGAAGAGAGCGTCGAGCACAGCTTTCGCAGCAATCCTTTTTCATTTGTTGGGAGACTGAAAAAGGCTTTGTCAAGCAGGCATGATTGTCAGGTCGATCGAAAGTTGAGAAATCCTATCTCTTGGGCCCCACTTTAGGGCTATCTTTCACCATTGACAGACATGGTTCAACGTGACAGGTACGATTCCTCAATCAATGTAGATGACTCAAGGTTGTTGTTTTCGATCTGGTATGGGGAAGGAGAACAGAGCTTTCAATTAAACATTCGTGTGAGTCTAGCTTGGGATTGTCCTGTCTTTCTCATCTCGATCTGGGTAAGGCTTCGCTTCGCTATTCATATGGGTGGTGGATGGGATAGAGAAAGACCCTTCAAGCAGCAACTGCGAACAGCCATAGCAATCCTTTCTTCTGCCTTGTCCTTCTTGATTGACAGTAGCAGGGTCTTTCTCTGTAGGCCCATTCCTGTGCTTTTCACATCAGTAGGTCTCGATCTTGGTACCGGTAGTAGCATCAAAGAGCTTTCCCTTCTTTGAAAAGGGAAGTTCAACAAGATAAAATCACAGAAAATACTTCTTACTTCCCCCTTTTCATTCTGTGAACCAGAACCATGAATCCTTCTCAAGCCCTCACTATTTCACTTGTCAAAAAATGCCCAAAAACAAAAGAAAGCCTCTGGCCCTCGGTTGACGAAGAAAGAATGAAAGAAGAATCTTGCCAAATTGAGGGGTCAAATACCTCCTATCATGGAAATCCCAGAACAAGAAATCATTTCGAGAACCGATGGGCATGACACTGATCTTCCATTTTCAGAGATCGAACAGAAGACCTCTGGTATCTGCAAGTCCAATCAGCGTATCCAGGAACTGAACAAGAACCCGTAGTTCCTTTCAGATTGCAATCCCTAAGGACGAACCCATGGGATCTGAGGAGCAGTGTAACTTTGTTGGTGCTCATAACCCAGAAGCTGATAAATGGGAGGATTGGACAAAGAGAGTTGTTAACTGTAGTCGATGGAGGAATACATTAGAATAAGTCAATCTCTTGCGAGCCATAATCAACACCACAGTGGATCATCAGATTACAAGCCACTTCTTCATGCCCTCGTCGAAATTTTTGGAATCCGTATACGATTTCGTTACGCTTTTTGGTGAAGTGACTTTCCTTGTTAATCTGATGAGAATGGAAAATGCTTGGGTGAAGATATTGCTCATTGTGTGGAAAGAGATCTGAGTCCAGAGGAGAAGGATACTGTTGAAAATTACTGAAGGCAGGTGGAAACAAGCCTAAAGGGAAATTTGTTTCGCCAAGAATTGTTTTTTTCCCTCTTCAGTCTTTGATTGAGGTCTACGATAAGGACATGAGTGAGGAGGCTTTTGCAGCCTTCGTATTGTATTTGATTTCACAAACATTATACCTTCTCCACCTGGAACTCGTAATTTTAAAATGATGTATTCATCACAGTTGTAAGATTGCTGAATCAAGAAATATTTGCTGGGCTAGCACTATAGTGGCCCAACTCTACATGGGGTTATCAGAGTATGCTACAGAGCTCAGAGATAGGAATCTTCAAATTGCTCCAAAATCTCCTGGATCGGTGCTCGATTTATATGGGCCGTTCGGGCTTCTGATTCTTTGGGCTTACGAAAGATTTCCCCAGTAGCCCCTCATGTTACATTGGAGAGAGGAATGAGAAATAGGTCCAGGGCTGAGAAATATGCAGATTTGACCACCACCCACATTGAGTACAGGAGAGTGCTTTAAGATCCTCATTGTTGAGGAAATCTTAAAATGGAGGCCTTACCGCGAAGGGGTATTCTTTGGGGATAAGGATGAAAATGAATTATTGACTTGCCCAGTGGTCACATAACCAGGAAGTGTTTTTGGTTCTTGAGAATGCTCACCCCTTCTCATATTTTTTGAGTGCCTCTGAAGGATCTCGGACGTGGTCTCATGGAAAAGTTCCGGTGACTTTGAAGCCCCCGTTCATTACAGTGTATAAGCCTCATAGGGTTGTGAAGCAGTTTGGGTTAGATCAAGTAATCCCTTACCCAATAGCAGAATCGCTCACTGATGTCAGGTATGCGTTAAGTACTTATTTCAAGTTAGCCCCCTCTTCTACAGATATTTTGATGCCCATCCGGAAGGGACGAATTCATTTTTGTACAAGAGGTACTTGGCGAGTTGGGTCCCTTTCACAAGAAAGAATTGATGAGGTGGCCGATTATCTCAATCGTAGAGATAGATATATGGCTGGTAAAGAGGTTGTTCCAGGTCTAGAAGAGGAGGAGGTTTAAAGAATAAGAGAGAGCTTAGACAGGGGTTAATCAGCTCCGCTTGGTCTTAGGCCTAGGAGTTCGATAGAAGCGTTCGTAACAAGGTAGCTGTAGGAGGGGAAGCTGATCAATTGAATGAAGACAGACTGGAATTGTACTTAGAGGAGAATCCTTACTTACAACTTTCAACTCTGATACCCTCAACTACTATCAATGCAGGGAAAGACATTGAGACTACTACCAATACCAAGTACTTCCGGTACCATACCGAGGGTAGAGCACTCACTGAAATGTGGCGAACCATACCTAGAGAGAAAGATCCCGAGACTGGGGAAGAGAGGCTTCATGGATCGGGTAATTCCATGGATATTCTGGTAGGGTCACTATGAAATCACTGCGACGGCCAAAGGCAAGGAAGGAATTTGATTGATATGGATGCTTGCTTGAAGCTCTCTTCCGATATATGAAACGGGGCACCAAGGGGAAGCAGGAATTAGACCAATAGGGCACTGCTCCTTCGGGGGTTGGGATGCCTTGCTACTTCTCCAAGGGAAATCCGTTGTATTGCTGATTCCTATGCTGATATCGTGCTATTATAGAGATAGGTAGGCGACAAAGACAAGGTCTTTTTCAAGCTATGGGCATTCAATCAATGGTTTCGGTTTACTGTTATAGCTATAGATAGGTGAAAGGCAAGGGATCAAGCTATGGACATCTTGCTTGAAGCTCTATTTTGATATCTTAGTGAACTGTTTCCTAACCTTCAGGCATGAATCTTATCAATACGGATTAGGCAATGAAGAAAGATACATAAGAGTGGAGTGAAGGGCATCCGTAAGAGGCCCGAACGTCACGGTCTCACAGAGTGAAGTAGACCAGGTTCTCTCTCCCCCTTGAGGGGGTAGGGGGTGCCAGCCCACACATTCTCTTTGTTAAGAATATATTTCCTTCTTACCTTCCACTTTCACACTTGAGAAAATTATATATAGCTAGCGACTTAACTTAGTCAGTCTATGACCCGCCCCCGCAAAGTACTAGCGTATAGCATAACCAAATGGAAATGTGGCTGGGCAAAAAGAAGGAGGAGTTGAGATTTCAGGCTTGTAGAAGAAATCAATGAGGCGAATTGAGCTAGGTTACAAAACTTTGAGGAGAAATCCCTTACTGAATGAACTAGACCGAATACTTTCCCATGCACTTTTCACAGAAAACCTGCCACTTGGGTCTCCTCCCCATTGTAAAAAGTTATCTCTCATAGGATTAGGTTTGAAGTCACCTGGAGTGGCATTCTTCACCTCCATCCATTCCATGGATGGAGCAGTGGGCCAATCCCATTCCGCACCATTGGTGATGGCCCCCAACAGCATTTCTCCCCAAACCAGAGTCGTATATGAGCCTTTCGCCGTACCTCTCAACGAGAGGGCCAAGTAGGTGCAAATTATCAAACTATAAGGAAATAGACGACCCATTGCCAACCCGAAATTTGAAATTCGCTCGTGCCAAGGGTCGAAGCTTCAAGATCTTCCTCCATGCCCAGGCACACTCACTAGGGATTTTCAATTCCCAAAAATTATTGGCTCTGATCAGATGAGTGCGGATCCAACTCGACCACACTGATTGTTCCTTGTCAGTGCATATGTGCCACAAATGCTTGAGCATAGCGGCCCTATTCCACTCTTCTAGACCTCTGAGACCAAGGCTCCCTTCCTTTTTAGGAAGACACACATACTCCCAAGCGACTTTTGCCCCTCTTGTACTCAGATCGCTACCCTTCCAAAGGAAGGCTCTAAGTGTTTGCTCAATCTGCTTGATCACTGCCTCGGAAGGATAAATATAGAAGACCTGTAAACCTGGATGGCAAATAGAATAATCTTCACCAGTTGCAATCTCCCAGCATAAGAAAGGGCTCTACAAGTCCAACTCTTCGCTCTGGCAATGATTCTGTCCACTAGAGCTCTGCAGTCGGATCCTTTGAGTCTGGAAGAGATCAGTGCACACCAAGATACCTAACCGGAAGACAACCTGCATTATATCCAAGCAAGCTCAAGATCTGCTCTCCCATATTCGCTGCTATGCCACACATGAACACGTTGCTCTTGTCAGGGTTAGGAGAAAGTCCGGAGAGCTGCCTAAACACCTCAAGGCACTGAGCAACACAAGAGACAGAGTGGATTTCACCTTTACAGAAAATAAGGAGATCATCAGCAAAGCACAAGTGGGATATCTTTTCCTTGTCGCACTTCCAATGGAACTTCAATTTTCCTTCGGATACCATGCTATTCATTAGTCCGGAAAATGCTTCCATGGCCAACACAAAGACAGGGGGACATTGGATCCCCTTGCCTCAATCCTATGCCTCCAGGGAAGAAGCCATTCAACTCACCATTAATCATAATAGAAAACCTGGTCGTAGTAACACACTCCATAATCCACTGTACAACTTTGTTGGGGAAGCCAATGGTCTTGAGTACAGCAAGGACAAAGTCCCACCTCACTGTATCATAAGCTTTCATTAAATGAACCTTGAGAGCACACCGGGGTATTCCTTGATCTCTGTGGTAATTCCTTAACAATTCCTGGGCAAGTAGAATGTTGTCCCCAATTCTCCTTCCCTCAACAAATGTCGTTTGCTGCTTACATCTGCGGTGGGGCAGGACTTGCTTGATCCTATTGGCAATGATCTTGGAAATGCATTTATAAATGGTATTGCAACAAGATATAGGCCTATAGTCTTTCAATTTTGTAGGGTTTGGTACCTTGGGTATCAGTGCGATTGCGGTTGCATGGACCTCCCTCAGCAAGCATCCTGAAGCAAAGAAAGACTTAATAGCCCTCACCACATCATTCCCAACAATACCCCACGCCTTCTTAAAGAATAGAGCATTATATCCATCCGGGCCTGGTGCCTTGTTATCCTTCAGAGAGAAGAAACATCCTTTATTTCACCCTCAGTAACCCTCTTAATAGATCATTGCACTGGTCAGGGGTTAGTCTTCGAGGGGGCCGTCCTAACCCTCCTGATTGATAGCGTGTTTGGATGGCACTTCACTAAGTAGTCTCTGAAAAAAACCCCACTATTATTCCTTGACTTCGGTAGGATCTCTACTCTTAATACCTTAAGATGTCAATAATTAATTTTTCTGTAAAAAAGGTGAAACTTTTATCAATGTTTAGGAAGATTTAAGATATTCTCCAAGCTTTTCTACATCATACATTTGAAACTAGACTTTAGTTGATTTTTTTATGATGCTTTTTCACCTGCAATGCAACAATTTGTTGAAATGATGCCACAGGCGGTATTTATGGGTAAAAACCCTAAAGAAGCATTTCAATATTTTGATACTATTTCTGAAAGTTCCCAGATGTGGGTGTAACGCCCCAAAAACCCCCGTGGGTGACATTACATTCTAAAAACCATTTACCGTATGAGAGCATTAAGTAAAATTCATCACGACGAAAGTTTCATTCATCAACCATTCATATTTTAACAAAATTTGGGCAGAGTCTCCTTTGTACGGGAGCTCTACCCAAAACACAACCTGTACAATTATATTACAATTGACCACACCGGGTCCACATATGCATAACTATTGACCACACCGGGTCCATTTTTCCATCATAAAATAAACTTGCATTCATCATATGTCATATCCACACTATCATCCCAAATTAATAGGTCTAATCTTGGCCTTTACATCTCCAAAATGTAATAATATAACGCAGCGGAAATATAGAAATGAACTAGAGTTCAAAAGGATATTCTAAGCATAATCTAGTCTAGAACAAAATAAAAGTGTCGCTCTAAGCGTCCACCTCGGGATCCACATCCCCGTCAAGCGGAGTCTTCCAATGGGTGGGCTCCTCGGCTCCTAACTCCTCCTCAAGTGTGAAATCTGAAAATTTTTATTTGTAGGGGGTGAGCACGAAGCTCTGTAGCAAAATCCTCTCAACTCAAACAAGGTTTGAAAAACATAGCAAACGGTCGGTCTCATTTCACAACTAACATATATATAGGTTTGGAATGAAAACAGTGACATTTTAAAAGAGATCTCAAGTTTAAACAATAGCAATAATCAGTTAAAAAAATAAAGTGAGTTTAGCATCGATAAACAAAATTCTAATTTAAGCTATTTAAGAAGGGCTTCTCCCTAAGCATTGTCCCATACCAATGCTCGGCAAGAACGACCCAACTCCCGATTCCATGTATTTTTGGTTCATCCCCGTACCATGTATGTTGATTGCTTCTCGTGAATCTACCTAACGATCATGCCTAGTCCACCAATTCCAACCAACAATCACAAATCTCTTTAGGAAGGGCGTGTACCGTCTCCTACGGCATTGACGAAATCCTCCCAAGGTGTCTAGTATACTAACCCTTTTCCTCGGTGTATATGTGAACAATAGTGATCGCGAGCACAACAACGATCCACTACGAGCATTAGGCAACCATCTCACCCCCCATTGGGATAGACTAACCTCTAACACTCTACGGCATCTCTCGAAGGTAATCCAAGTCCATCACAACAACCATACAATGAGGAAATCAAGAATATTCACAATTCACAACAATTTCCCAAATATAGTAAAATCCCCAATTTTGTTTTCACATTTGTCATATAATCGAATAATCCAAGAAAATATGCAAGAGATCGTAATTATATCATTTTGTTATACAATATTCAACACTAAAGTTTTAAAATCAAAGACAAAGAAGAAATTAGGAGAAAATCCCCTTTTCTTGAAAACTAGGGCTTTGAAGATAAAAAAAAAATCAATAGAGCTTTGGTGGTTACCCACCCTTCATATTGTTCAAAACATGGCATTTATTACAAATAGAACAAGAATCATGTATTTCATATTATATATATGAGAAGGAGAGTGAAGAAACATATATCTATATACATATATATATCTATATATATATATATCTAGCCTCAATGTGAGAGATTGAGAGAAAATCCCCTACCTTAAATCAAGATTCCAAGCTAAGACCCAAGCTTCAAGACCTTCTTGCTCTCCCTTTTCCTCTTAATCTTCTCCTCCTAGGGTTTCAAAAGATTTGGGTGAGAGGGTAGCAAGAATGGAAGAAAATGGGAGGAGAATGTATTCTTGAAGAATTTGAAGTTTTGATTTCTACAAGGTATAAATCCCTCTTGATTGGTATTTCTATCTTCCTCTCTTCCTCTAAAATGGTTCCTAGGGTTTGGAGGGGTGAAATGAATGCTAAAGGGACGACATTAGGTTTTTATAGGGCAAGAAAATCGAGCAAAACCCGATATTTTCTGTTCAGAAAAAATCGGGTTTCCTTCGTACTGTTCACAGATTTTTGGTGCGACTTCAGGTCAGTTTTGACCCATTTAGGGTCGAATTGGAAATTTTCATGAAATACACTTTTGTAGCCCTAGATGTCTACTATTTCCTGTCAAAATTTCAGATCAATTGGACATCAAAATATAAAGTTATGATCAAAATACTAAGCAGTGTCCATCACCCTTTTTACCCAATTTCACTCCAATTTGGTTTTACTTCTAAAATACTTCCTAACTTCTAATACATCCCATATTACCTCTCCCAATGTTTTCCGACCTCCCGAATTCAATGGTAATGTTATTTTGATAAAAAAAATTAATATATTTATTTAGTTACCCTTATCAATCTTAAACACATCCAAAAAAAAAAAATTAAGTTTGACCCAAAAGTCAATCCGTTCGAAACTCAAACTTCATGATTAATATTTCAACAATGATTCTAAGTTTTTATCCTCATTTTATTCATATTTGGAAAACTCTTAAGATATTAGTATTCTTATTTAATTTTAGTACAGGGTCTTACAATCCACCCCCCTTAAAGAAAGTTTCGTCCTCGAAACTTACCTCAAGTAGCGAACAAATATGGATATTTCTCTCGCATCTCCCACTCCGTTTCCCAAGTTGCTTCCTCTACGCCATGATGTTGCCACAGGACTTTCACCAGCTGGATTACCTTGTTGCGAAGCACTTTCTCCTGGATATCAAGAATCTTCACCGGCTGCTCTTCATAGGTGACTCCATCTTGCACTTCAATATCCTCCAAATCCACGACATGCGACGTATCTGGTTGACATTTCCTCAACATCGAAACGTGGAACACGTCATGAACTCCTGACAATGATACTGGTAGCCGAAGTTGGTATGCTACTTTGCCCACTGTCTTGATCACTTCAAATGGACCGATGTACCTTGGAGCGAGTTTTCCTTTCTTACCGAATCTAAGTACGCCCTTCTTGGGTGACACTTTAAGAAATACAAAATCTCCCTCCTTGAATTCCAAAGGCCTTCTTCTCCTATCCGCATAGCTCTTTTGTCGACTCTGTGCTGTGCGTAATCTCTCCCGAATGAGCTGAATCTTCTCCGTTGTCTCCCGTACAAT